ATATCTTTGATTTTGATTTTGAAAATATCTTGATTTTGATTTTGTTAATATGCCCAGGCCGAAGATCAGTTTGGTTCCTGACAACCAAACAAGGATCACTGCCATTCTCTCCCTTCCCCACACACCATCCTCCAGGCACCATCATGCCCAGAGGACAAAACAAGAGCTCAGTGTCGATCTTATCCAGCACAAGATCATTCCTGTGGAACTTCCTAGCAAAGGGAGCGTTGCTGTCAATCATTCTCGACGTTCTTGAGGGGATTGAGGTGGGTTTCTCTTTGATATTCTGTTTTCTGTTGTTAAAATTGAATCTTTGATGGGGTACTATCATGTTTTTATTTTGTTTTTCATAAAAACATTGTGTCGGGTTTTAGATATATATTGGGTTTTGGTTGTTTTAAATGACAATCTATGTTTCTGACATGGGTTTTTCATTAGTATTGAAAAAGTTTGATCTTGTGCATATTTGCATTGGATCTAGATTGAAAGCATTTCAACTATTTGCATTGGATCATGAGTTGCAGATTTTGTATATTTACTGATTATGCTAATTGATTTGGTATATGGATTTCATGAAACTTCTCAAATTGATTTGGTCTATTTTCTATTGTCTACGAGAAATAATCAATAATTGCTTTAAATTCTTTATTATCCATGTCAAGTTTACCTGTACTAGAAATAACATTGTTAGTATCTCAAAAATTTTAAGAGGGTAGATTCAAACGTATGTGTGAATTTCAAAAAGTTTATGTGTGAAGTAATACATTGTTCGTATCTCAAAAAGTTTAAGAGGGTAGACTCAAATGTATGTGTTAAATATGTGTGAATTTCAAGGAAGTCTAAGGGTAAGAACCAAAGCTGGTACTATCTATATCTGGAAGCAATTTTAGTTAGAAACTCCAAGTCCCAATATGTTTCTAAAGACTTTCAAGTGGCGAATTCACAGGCCTGAGACAAGATGTTGTTTGATTTACTTTCTTTTACGTCTAAAGATCTAAAGTTTATTGTTAAGTTCTCAGAGGAGTATGGTTCAGATATATTCCGCTAGATACTTCAGTCTTTGTGCCCCTCAATTTATGGACAGGAACTTGTCAAAGGTACTTTATACTTCAATCATCACTCTCTGAGAGTATGTTAAGATGACAGACTCTGCAAATGCACATTCACGTTCAGCAACTTGCTAGCTAAGCAAGATGTTTATTGCTCTGATAACTTCACATGCCATTTCCTTCTTGCACAACGTAATCTCCCCTATGCTTACTGTCTATCTTTACTTAAGAACATAGCAAAACTTGTTTGCTAAGTTTAGCCTTCTTTTGACCAGCCCTGCGCTTACACTTTGCTCTGTTTGAGAGGTGCTGCTAAAAACAATCAAAGGCATGAAAGAATAAAAGACTCTTGCTTCGAGGGGACATCCCATGTCATTATATAGTGGTAATTTTTAATTTTTGCGAATTCCCTGAATGCATCTACGTAGCTCCTGCCTAAATGTACTCAACCTCTAGTGTCGTACAGGTTGCCTTCAAATTACATATTTTAAATAGCGGCTAACTTTGTATAAATTTTAAGATTCCACTCTAGCGGGAGAAACCCAAGCACGAATCAGAGCATCCCTCCCTCTATGCCCATGATGATTTTGATGCTTAACTGTTAAGCTTCCTATTATTTTGAGGCTTTCAGATACAACAAAATAACATCCATTTTGCGTAAGTCATGATCAACAACTACAGGTGCATGCAATAGACCGCTATTTACAGTTATGCTGACATTAGATTCTTCTCTTGTCCTCGCTTGCAAACCAGCTTGATTTGAGGTTTGATGTATGTCTTCTAACTTATTCCTCAGAACCACAGGTGGCGTTAATAGCAGAGACCGGGGCATGGTTTGTCCGTTGGTCTTGCTTTCTGTTTGATAAACTTTCCATGCTATGCCCAAACTTAGGCACTTATGACTTATCAGCTTTTCATTTATGTTTTTGCTCGCAGGATTCTACTGCCGTCTTTTTGGGCTTTAAAGTCGCTGAAAAATGATAGAACAATGGAATATTTCTGCGATTTTAGCTCTTTAGGTATATTTGCTTTATAGAATGAGTGCCTTTCTTCTTTATTTGACTTTACAATTTCAAGAAATTTAAAATGTGCTGAGCTTATCAAAAATCGTAATTTACCATGCTTGCATCGCAAATGCTCTTTTGACACCCTCCTCTTCTGATCAGTTTTTTCCGCTTGCACAAAAATAAAGGCATCTATTAATATTGATAGAAATTGATAATGATCGCACATCAATGCCTTAGTTCTTAACAACACACACTTAGGTGCTCCTTTTGTGCTATGACCATTACATTGCTTCGTAGCCAGCGATATTTCACTCTATAATTACATGAAGCGAGGATCCTTTATTAAAAAAACTTACATTCTCAGGGACCATTTTGATATAATGCAAATATAACTATAGTTACATCTGCCTTCTCTTCTGCAGCGTCTATACCTTGTGCACACCTTGGCCCATAAAGCGGTAGCGTCCAAATATGAATGTAATTCTTTACAGCATTGCCCTTGATTGTTACGTTCTGCCATTAATCCTATCAGCTCATGATCCTTTCTAGACCTCATTTGTTATCTTCATTTTGTGACCAGTATTGCGGAGCAAGCATTACTACCTAGAGGCCCTCAAAATTTGCGCATCCACAGTAGCTCGAGGGCCCCAGCGGTTGTTTTACAATTTTAAGACTGCGTTGCCATGTCTGTGGTCAAGGGTACTTGCGTGTATTTTTGTTGCGCTAAGTCCCACCCACCTCCCCCTCATACTCCACCCCCCACCCCACCATCAAAACTCTGCGGCCCCCGGCAGAGGGCCCACCGACACCTCACATCATACAAAGAACCACTGACGAGACATAAATATCAGAAGTTGATATGAAGATTCTTATTTGTTCTATTTTGCATAACACATTGATTATGGGTTGTATTTTTTCCTCGTGGATTTGGTTACGTGTTGCAGCAAAATCTTGCTAAGAAAGATGGCGTAATTGATATTCAACGTGATATTGAGCGCTTATGGAAATTTTACGTCAGCTATAAAAGACGACATCGTGTTGATGATATCCAAAAGGACCAACATAGATTGCTAGAATCTGGAACCTTCACCACAACAAACTTGGGAGAGTATGTGATGGTTTTAGATGTTCCCTCTCTATAGTCTCTTGTATAGAAGACAAGAGTAACATAGAAGAATGTATGTTTCTTTGTTAATCAAGAAATCTTAAGAAAGTAATAGATCCCTCTCATTCCGTTCTTCCTAAGTTGCATCCTGCCAATTAACAACTTTCTGATTCCTACTGATTCAAAGAATTAGTTAGACTTGTTTCATAAAATCTAAACTATATGTCACTCTAATGATGCTTAAATGTTGCATAATTGTACTAGGCTACAAGCAATAAAAAAATTATTGGGAAGAGGAATAAATGAAACTAATTCTGTATGTTAAAATTTTGGCGGGTTGTTTGATGTTTAATCCTGAATCTTGATCAATCATTGCAAGCCATGAAGCTCAGCATCTACCAAGAGCGGGCATGCCCCAGATACTTCATAATTTGTTGCTAATCACATAGATTATAGTAAATCCAAAGCTCTTAAAATTTTCTGGCTAAATTGGACTATCCTGTAATGTAATCCTTTCATCAATCCTAGCACACATGAATTATTACTACATCACTCATTCGCATTAGCTACAGGATTCCATTTCAACGATGAAAACCAATCAGCTCGTCGCCCAAATCTATAGCTCGAGCTTCCATGCAGTAAGCAAACCCTAAGAAATCCCAGATTGGCCTTGTAATAATTGGCCCTGAAAGGTCATCTTATTTCCAAAAAAGCTACCCTTTAAATAGCTTTGCTCTCGACTTAAAAAAGAGTTCAAAAGAAAATGTTAGCAAGTGATTCTCTTGTGGATCTTCGGTATAAAATGGGGCTATTTAATGCAGAGAATGCTAAAGATAGTAGGTGATATTTAAAGGGAAGTACAAAGTTTAATGAGCGTTTTGAAATTTATATGTGATCTTGAAATTTTCATGCGTGAATATATGTACTAACACATTACGTATTACAAAGGCTTAGTCAAGCTTCTAATGCCATGAGCTTGGATTTACATCTTACATCAACATCATCAAACATTACTTTTAGGTATATACTTGTGACAATATTTGATTGGTTGATCACGTTATAGATGTAACCGGTGTACTATCAACCAATCAATCACTAAATGTAATTTCGTTGTTCAAATGTTGAATTTTAAGATTATGTCTATATGTTTGATCAATTGCTTACATTCAATGATTTAATAACAAATATTTCACAAAATAAAATTATAAATTTATAATAAATGATAAAAAAATTTACCACGCGCATTGCACGTGCAATCCAACTAGTAATACCGAAAAATCCAAGTTCAAAATGGCTATGGATGCTACGTACAAAACAGTATACACATTTGCTTACCGGGTCCGGATGTGTGTTTTTTGATATCCCAGATTATTTCTACAGATTTTGAACTTAAGTTTATTCATAAATATAAAGCAAAGATAAGGCTCGGCTTCTTTAAGTTGATCTATATTATATTTTAAATGTTAATAATATAACAATATTCGATATTCAGGAAAGTAAAAGTTGTACTATAATTGGGATTCCTATTGTTGAACAAATACTAATGGTAGAAATAGATAGAAAAGATTGATTAAAGTGCTCTAGTTAGATATATTTCAGTTATAATATGATACGATATCTCCAACCATTCAAATCAATTATATATCCGTTGCCTTTTCTTCAGGATTTTTTTTTAAAAAAAAAATCTCTCTCCCCAGATTCTCAGGAATTCTAGTAGGCAAAGGACCGCGACTTAATTCGGGAAAGCCAAAGGAGAGTCGTATGTTTCTCTATCACCCCCATATATATATGTATGTATATGTATGCTCTGATGCATCCATCCTCTTGTTAATAATCGTCATGTCTAGCTTAGGCGAGGATCTGCTGATAAAAATCCTGTGGAAATTGCCCTTGGAGTCTCTTCTCAGATTCAAGCTCGTATCAAAGGCCTGGAACAGTTGGATATCGCATATTCTATCTTCTACATCAGGCCTCATCTTTGAAGAAGTGTACATTGACGAAAAGAAATTACCCCAATCATTGCTTGAAGATGAAAGAGAAAGAAACATCCTTGTTGACGTCTGCGATGGCCTTCTTCTCTTCGAGCGCAGAAAAGAAATCACATATCGTTGGACATATTCAGTCTGGAATCCCATAACTAACCAATGGTTCCAACTGCCACAACGTATTAGTGATGTAGAACACGGTGTTGTTGGGCTAGGTTTTGATCCCGTGCTTTCCCCGCATTTTCAAGCTGCTCACTTCTATAAAGACTCATATGTTGATGGATCTGGGTGCACGCTGGAGCTCTTCTCCTCTCAGACTGGATCATGGCGCGATTTCAAAATCGAAAGACATGATACTGGAAATTGTTTTCGTTGTAGACTTGTCATTGTAGGGAGGGCAGTCTTTGTGCAATTCAAATGGTCCAAGTGTCCTATTTTGAAATTTGATATGGACGAAGAGAGCTTTAAGGATATAGAGTTGCCAGGCCCTGAAGAGAAGTATTTACCAATGTCAACGCTAGGGAAATGTGAAGGGCGTCTTCATCTTGCCTGGATGACTGGATACGCGTGCAAAATATGGAAGCTTGAAGATGCAGAGCAAGAATCGAGATGGGTTTTGTTGCATACTTGTAGTTATTATTTCCTGAAAAATCAAGCATGCAATAATCAAACCAACAGAGGAGTTGTGATTTTTTTGCGTGGATTTCTTCCGGATTCAAAGGTTGTTCTCCTTGACGTCAACCACCGGGTTGGTCAAAGAAAAAATCAGCTTGAGACATTTTCTTATGATTTTCGCACAAGGGAATTGGTAAAAATTTACATATCTAACGCAGCATGGCATAACGTCTTCGCGTTCTCCCCTTGCACAAGGTATATTACGATGGGGCCTTGAGAGGATTAACATATGACTCGCACCATCACTATGACTTAGCTTTCGACAAACTGAATCTTTAAATCAAGTTTTCAAATTATCAACTGCCGTATTTGGCTTTAATAAACTCTTAGGCCTCACCATGACTTGATGTGATCTGTTTAGTTTTTATTTTTTCCATCCTTTTTATTTTTCGAAAGCATTGGCTTGATTTATCTGTTTTATGCTGATTTATGTCTCTACAATTCTGTTCTGAGGAATCAAAGACAGCTTAATGTTATGGCGTCAATTTGTTTCAGAATACACCAATACTGCCTAAAAGATTAAACATTAGCTTCAGGAAGGAATACTGCTACCTCTTGTTTACATGACCATCGTTGTTTGGGCTTGTGATATTTGTTCCATCTCCATTCACCATCTATCAAGCTTGAAAGGACGTTGATTAATCTACATTCTATAATATAATAGATACGTTAATGTAGGAACAAGCTTATGCAGGGTCTAGTCAAAATGCATGCATGGTTGCTCAAAACCACCAGATGTCGTGTCTTTATCATGCATGTTTAATGCCGTACAGTCGAAATGCATGCCTGCTTAGTGATTTAAAATACGTCTGGTTTTAAGTGCAAACCTTCATATAAGGTTGATGTCCGAGTTAAATAGTAAATTGATGGACTCGTACCAAACCTAGCAGCGGCATGTTCAACTTCGGGTTTTTTTCTCTAATACTTGATTTTATGTGCTGGATTTGGTGGGTTTTTAGCATTTGCTATTAGGTGCGTTGCACCTTACAGTTCAGATCCTATATTGGCACACATTACATCCTCAGGTACTTACTTAATCAGCATGTTGCAAAATAATGACTCCTTAACAGTTTATTTTGTTGAGTTTAATATATAGGGACCACAGATACTCTCTACTCCATATATGAAGTTATCAATAACGAACAATTTATTTGGCTCTCCCTAGCAAAAATCCAATGTTGCCTAGCAAAGACAGAATTTGCACATGTAGTCACTAAGAATTTGCGTGTGTAAGTGCACATACATACATATGGATATCAATATAATAGGAAAAACAACCAGACAAATAAAACAAGGAACTGGAACCTCACAGTATCACCGGTTGCATTCTTTAGACCAGAGGGTCAAGGCTCTCAGCTTCTTTTCAAATCAAAGAAATAAGAGCCCTTCGATTTTGGGACCTCTCTCCCGCCTCCCTCAGTATTTAGGATGGTGGCTTCCAAATTTGATATTCAGAGTCCTTAGGTCTGAGAGAAAAGTTCACAGATAGTAAATAAAAAAGGAGGGAATCTTCATACCATCCCCTTTTAGGATAACAAGCACGGCGAATACTTGTACAGGTAACTACTCTATGAGCAAAGATTGCATCCTGGAAGAGAACACTGCTTGTTGTCGTCTCACAAGTTATGCCTAAGTCACCATTTAAATTTCACTATTGTTTACCACGTCAGAAAGTTATGTTGGTCAATCCACGATATTCACAAATACTTTCATGACGAACTAGGATTATGCAATCAGCATCACAAGCAAGCATATTAAATTCCATACAAATATACAATTGTCATCTGATGCTACCAGATAACTTTATATCCCTCATATAACTTGTTGAGAGTTAGTTGGAGGGGTAAAAAAGGATATTAAGGATAGAGAGTCAAAGAGAGTAAGGATGTCCAACAAAAGGGTGTTAGAGAGATGCAGGATGTTTAAAAAACTTATTGATGTATTAACACAGCTAAAGAGAGGGTGAATTAGATAGAGAAAGAGAGATGGAGAGAACAAGGAATTCGGTAAGATAAACGCTTAGAGGGGACGGGAGTTAAAGCAAGAAAGGAAGCTAGAAAGGGAAAGAATGTTAATCTGAAAATGGAGAAGCAATGTTAAAGGGAGGGAAAGTAAATTAGAGGAAAGGCGGGAAGTTAATGAAGAGAAAGAGAGAATGTAAAGGTATTAAGAAAACAAAAGTTAAGGAGAGAAAGTGAGAGGCATAAAGTCATCAAATAGACTCAGAGAGAGAAGATGAAAATAGACACTAGAGTTACCGAAAATTTCCGTCTTTGGAAACTGTAGGAATCAAGACGAATTCCAGGACACACCCAATTAGAAATAGATGTCCTAGACTATCCAACTACAAATCTGAAGCCACCGTGCAGATTTTCACTTGCAGCACGTCCGTCGTGCGGTAAATCCTGTATTTCCCTTATTGATACTACATGCAAGTGTCTAATTCTAAAATCATGGGAGTCGATTAGATATAATATTTAGTTGATTAAATAAGCACTTACATAATGCCTAGCCATATTAATGTATCATGGAATACTTTTGACAGTTCATATAAAACAATTGTGTGCATCAATATTCAATCTATATGCCAATCTGTTCTGGACGGACTCCTATCAGTTATTCTAATCAATGTATCCATTCTGTACACACTCAAACATACCTGAAAGTTTTAGCTATACGTAGATAAACTAGGCATGTCGTAACCATATCAAATGTTACCATTTTATTGAGATAAAAAAAGTTGGAACCTGATAGAACTGAAAACTTAATGCAAACAAACAAGTGTTTTGTTAATCAAATATCTCAGTTGCTAAATTTTATCTGACAAAGAAGTGGCTTAATATTCCCCGTTAAATATCATGGATGGATAAAAGGTGAAGATAAATAAGCATAACATGAATGAAAAATTTCAGCTTATTTTCTAAACTAAACAGGTGGATCTTTGACTCAAAATGGAATTACCAACTCCTCGTTCATAGGAGTCAATGCCAATGATTTCAATAGATATAACACACTTACTGTCCCCATCAAATATCAAGTTTCATCTCTATTCTATGGCAATTGCCAAACAATTATCAATTTCTAAACCGATGTACATAGTTCTCCAATAAGCAAGTATGATCTGCTATGTTGCCTAGATACGGGTACGAGTACGGGACACGACAAATTTGTAAAAAGTAGGGTACGGGGACACAAATGTATATATAAAATAATTCACTTTAGATCAATATTGAATTAAATACCTATTACATTTTCATATTTTTTTTGTTGCGCGCAGCGGAAATTTCGACAGCACTTCGGTGCACAACAAGAGAGTCAGGTCGCAATAGGAAATCCTGTTTCACAAAGGAAACAAGAACCTTAAGCAAAATATCTCAACCAAGTGAGATATCAGCTCTTCCTCTCATCAGTTCTAGGACTGACCTGTCGAGGGAACCTAAAAGCTATTATAAATCACACAAATAGCAAGACAATCAATTTTACGTGGTTCGGCAAATAGCCTACGTCCACGGGGCAAAGAGGGCGGAGATCTACTATTAGAGAGAATACAAATAGGGTTTACATACACAGATCTCACAAATAAAACCCTCACAATCTCTCTCTCAAAAGGATGCACAAACTCTCTGAAACCGGCGGCTCTCCTCTGTAGTTTTGCTTTTCACGGCGAAGAAAAAAACAATCTGTAGCAAAACCCCACTTTGCTCGCTTCCGCACCCTGCAGCCACCAAGAACATTCCCGTGCACAAAAACCAATTTCTCCCCTCTGCCTGCTGCAAAACCCTAATAAAATATCATTTATATAGGCAGCGAAAGGAACCGCGTGTCGTGTTGAAAACGCGGCTCAAAAATCAACTTCGTGGGCCTGGGCCTTCTCAGGTCCGTTCATAATTCTCCACCTCGGTGAAGTTTCTTCCAAAACTGAGCCGACACCAAAGCATCCAAATGTCCCACTTATTGTGTTCAGCATGCTGTAAAATAATTCACGACAACGGACTTAAACCACAATAAGTCGGGAACCAAAACGAGAGTCCAAACAATCTCACCCCCATCAAAATCAACTAATCCAAACCGGCTGCATCTGAAAGACTGCCTACGTATCCTCTTGCCCAAGGAATCAAGCCGAACATAGTTCACCCAAATGGCCGCCAACAGCCTCAACAATCACGAATGTGCAACAAGTTTCGATAATGATTAAACTTGTTGCTCGGAACCACCTTAGTGAGCATATCCGTCGGATTATCCTTCGTGTGGACTTTCACAATTTCTACATCGCCATCTTCAAGAACATCCCGAATGAAGTGATAACGAATGTCAATGTACTTCGTTCTCGTATGAAAAACCTGATTCTTCGCCAAATAGATAGCACTCATACTATCACAATGAATAGTGACGGATCTTTGCCATATACCAAGTTCCTCCAAAAGTCTTTGAAGCTAAATAGTCTCCTTCACAGTCTCCGTAACTGTCATATACTTTGCCTCCATCGTAGACAAAGCCATCGTCGACTGTAAGGTGCATCTACAACACACCGGTACACGGGTCAAAGTGAATACATACCCCGTAGTAGACCGACGCTTATCCAAATCTCCGGCATAATCTGAATCAACATAACTAATGCATAGCTGCCCACCTGTAGTGTCCCGCTCATAAACTAAACCAACATTGAGCGTACCTCGAATGTACCTCAAAATCCATTTCACGGCGTCCCAATGACCCACTCCTGAATCGTGCATGTATCTAGAAACCATGCTCACCGCCTGTGATAAATCCGGTATCATACATATCATCGCGTACATCAAACTCACAACCGCACTCACATATGGAGTCTTCGACATCAACTCTTGATCTTCAACTGACTTTGGTGAAAGACCAGCTAAAAGCTTCAAATAGGCTCCCAAATGTACACCAACTGGCTTCGTATCCATGCTAACATGGAATCGCTGTAGAACCTTCTTCAAATAAGCCACCTGTGTCAAACAAATTCTGCCCTTCTTCTTGTCTCTGTCGATCTCCATCCCTAGAATGCGTTTCGCCTCGCCTAAGCCCTTCATCTCAAACTCATTTGAAAGCTGAACTTTTAACTCATCTATAGCCGACCTGGAAATAGAGGCAACCAACATGTCATCGACATAAAGTAACAAATAGATGTATGCACCTCCTTTCAACTTGTGAAAATATACGTGAGGATCAAACTGGCTCCGAGTGTACGAATGACCA